GGGGGCAGTGGCAATGGCTAGGGACAGTGTATATGTGTGGGGGCAGTGTGTGTATGTGTGGGGGCAGTTTATGTATGGGGCAGTGTATGTGTGTGTGGGGGGGCAGTGTGTATGTATGGGGGGCAGTGTATGGGCGAGGAAGGAGGGAAGGGTGGCTTTTTAAAAAAAAGTCTGTGACAGTGTCGCTTTAAAGATGATTATTTAATTTTCATTCAGAATAAAATAGATGATTATTATTACTAAGATTTATAAAGTGCCAACATATTCTGCAGCGCTGTACAAATATACACAGAGCAAGACAAAAGGTAAACAGGGCTCTGCCCGTGAGTTGAGCTCTAGCCATTGAAGCTCGTTTATCCAAAGTGTCTAGTTAGGAATTTGGAAGTGAGGGTCAGAAAATATGAAGTTAAAGTTGCAACTAGTTATTTGGGTTTCTTAAAAAAGATGTTTGTGAAAAAAGATGTTTGGAAAAAAGTGATGTGAAATGACTAGCAGGGAGTCCATAGTGGAAGTGTGTATATATACACATTGTGTAGGGCTCAGCACCTCAAGTTCTATGCTACTTGTGAAGCCTTAAAAGTTACTAGCCACTGCAAGACTGGAAGGTCCATTGTACACTCTCCAGGGAAACATTTTTGCTGCACAATGGCTAATAGCGAGTGGAAACTTTGAGCCCTGCATTACTTATGAATTAATCGCGATTCCACTACAATATTACCCATATATGATGAAATAATATGCTGTATGTGATGAGAGTTAAACAAAGCTTCACAGCAACAAAAATAAACTCACAGAACTGCTTGGCCAATACGCCAGTTTCTCAGAGCTCCAAAAAATTATAATTTATAGTAATGTGCAGAGTATAGGAACGTGCCGTTTATATCACAGAGCTTCACTGCAATAAAAGGTACAGCAATGGGCCATGTATATAAGTGTATCACAGAGCTCTACGAGAATAAAACTCACAGTATTCAGTAAGTTTAGCGATTGATTTCCGCAAATACCATTCTTTGTTCTGAATGACTAAGTGATCTCTATTAATACGACAGCGAAGTCCTGTTAAAGGCTAAAGCTCCTCTCTCGTTTGGAAGGTTGGGCTGTATGTAAATGAATGAGGCTTGTAGAATCCTGTGCTAATTTGCCTATCTTCACGGGGAAAATCCCAGGAATTAGACGTGTAGAAACATCTCAGTGATTAATATAACAGAGCGCTGAGACTGGTGACAAGTAGATCATTATAAATGGAATGTTGTTGGGAAGGGCAATAAAAATATATTATGTAATATCGTCTTGTGTGTGGATCTCACAGATATGAAAACCGTCACACTCATTAACATCACTTCTACACAATACTATTTCCTTTACAAATATAACACATGGCGATACTGCTCGGAAAGAAAGTCAGTTCAAAAACAGTTTATAATATGGCCGAGCCACCCTTATAAAACGTAGCCCAGCGCACTATTTATTGGATTCAGCAACATTAAAATCCCATGCTACTAGCCAGGGCTAATAGTTACTTGCAAACATTCTACTGCATGGCCTTTGATTTAAACCACTGTTATTAATTATCACTTTTAGCGTGATGATATTTGCCATTTTTTTTCATGTGCTGTTGCTCATTTACATTTATAAGGAATAGAGAAATAGAGAGTTACTAATTTGTGATTGCGCTCTCTTTTAATGACATATGCAGGCTGTTTGTTACTACAATCTTGGGTGGAGAGGGAGCTTTCATTTCTACTCGTCAATGACTAGTGGACTAGAAGAAACTTCAAGTTTTTTTTTTTTGGCTGTGCAATAGCCTTCCACACTGTGGGAGCATATTCTTCCACGTACTTTACTTGCATTTCTTGTGTACAAGATGGCAATTGCTTATAAATAGGCACACCAATGGTTTTCACAAACAGCAATTCTGCACACTGCATTCACTATACACACACACACTGCATCCACTATACACACACACTGCATCCACTAAACACACACACTGCATCCACTAAACACACACACTGCATTCACTATACACACACACTGCATCCACTATACACACACTGCATCCACTAAACACACACACTGCATCCACTAAACACACACACTGCATCCACTATACACACACTGCATCCACTAAACACACTGCATTCACTATATACACACACTGCATCCACTAAACACACACACTGCATCCACTATACACACTGCATCCACTAAATACACACACTGCATCCACTAAACACACACACTGAATCCACTATACACACACACTGCATCCACTAAACACACACACTGCATCCACTATACACACACACTGCATCCACTATACACACTGCATCCACTATATACACACACTGCATCCACTAAACACACACACTGCATCCACTATACACACACACTGCATCCACTAAACACACACACTGCATCCACTATACACACTGCATCCTCTATATACACACACTGCATCCACTATACACACTGCATCCACTATATACACACACTGCATCCACTAAACACACACACTGCATCCACTATACACACACTGCATCCACTAAACACACACACTGCATCCACTAAACACACTCACTGCATCCACTACACACACACTGCATCCACTAAACACATGCACTGTATCCTCTAAACACACACATTGCATCCACTAAACACACACACTGCATCCACTAAACACACGCACTGTATCCTCTAAACACACACACTGCATCCACTAAACACACACTGCATCCACTAAACACACACACACTACATGCACTAAAAACACACACTACATCCACTATACATACATTGCATCCACTAAACAGACACTGCATGCGATAAACACACACTGCATCCACTAAACACACTGCATCCACTATACACACACTGCATCCACTAAATACACACACTGCATCCACTCTACACATACTGCATTCACTATACACACACTGCATCCACTAAACACATACTGTATCCAATACACACACACACACTTTATCCACTATACAGAGACTGCATGCAATAAACACACACACTTCATTCACAACACACACACTGCATGCACTATACACACACACACTGCATCCACTATAAACACACACACACACACACACACACACACTCCATCCACTATGCTCATACTGTATCCACTAAACACACACTGCATCCACTAAACATACACTGCATCCACTATACACTGCATTCACTAAACACACACTGCATCCCCTAAACACACACACTGTGTCGACTCTACACATACTGAATTCACTATACACACACTGCATTCACTGTACACACACTGCATCCAATAAATACACACACATCATGTGCTATACACACACTGTATCCACTAAACACACACACACTCCATCCACTACACACACACACACACTCCATCCAATATACACACACATTGTATCCACCACACACAAACACACACACACTCCATCCACTTTACACACATTGTATCCACCACACACAGACACACACACACACACATACACACACACACACTGTATCCACCACACACACACTCCATCCACTACACACTCACACACTCCATCCACCACACACACACACACAATCCACTATGCACACACTGCATCCATTAAACTAAATAAATATAAAAAGACATATAAAATTATGGAATACTAGTTAAAGTAAACAAAAAGAAGAGCTGATGAGGACCCTGACGTAAAGAGCTTACAAGAAGAAGTGTTTTGGAAGACGTTGAGGTAAGAACAATGTATCCTAAAGGCACATAGATCATTTCTAAGCAGAAATATTCTGCATGGAACTAAGTGAGAGATATATGGGGAGATCAATCCTCGTAGATCAATCCCATCAAGTTTTTTTTGAGGGCCACTAGCTAGAATTTATTTTCTTTCTTCTTCAAAACTGTAAAACAAAATCAGCTATAAACTTCTACTTTGCTTTTGTTTTTTTGTATTGAATCTAAGAAATTCTGTTTTCAGTTCCCACAATTCTCTGTTTAGTAAATTAACTTCAAACCTAGAAACCACACTGGGCAGGACAGACAAACAGATACAGGTCTGATTCGATACCAATGCTACATCACAATGTGACTAATAAACCATGATGCACAAAGTGATTAATCAGAAAATCTGAACATAATAGCATAGCTTACTAATTAACTGCTACACCCACTAATTAATGTAATCCTAATGTTCTCCAAAAAGAATGCTAAGTATTTGAAATGATGTTTATGAAAGACTCTGTGGCAAAACCAAAACCAAACCGAAGACGTGTGTCGGATCCTATTAATTATAGCCTGTTAATGTTCGCACTGAACCATCATTTTTGCATTTCACATGTGTCACATTTGGCGGAGTTCATCAAGGTATCTCACATGGCAGTCAGGGCCATCCGGAATGTTTTTGATTCAGTAAAACGATCCCACCCCTCTCTTTGAATATTTTTCGGAAACCAGTGCCTCTTGGTAGCACATCCTTATGGCTGTGCAGTAGGCACCTATCCACTACATTTTCTATATACATAAAAGAGACGAGACAGTGGGGATATGATAGAAACATTTAAATACATAAAGGGAATCAACACAGTAAAGGAGGAGACTATATTTAAAAGAAGAAAAACTACCACAACAAGACGACATAGTCTTAAATTGGAGGGGCAAAGGTTTACGTGGTAGAGGTCAACGCAGTGAGGGAGTTTAAACATGTGTGGGCTATCCTAGATATAAGATAATGAAAGTATTTAGAAAATTGGGCAGACTAGATGGGCCGAATGGTTCTTATCTGCCGTCACATTCTATGTTTCTATGTCATGTCCATCTCACATCACGCATGAGGTCCAGCTGGAAGGTTTCATAGCCGTAAAGAAATATACAGACAGATAGACCAAACTCTCCTCAACACCTCGAATATTTTGCAGTTGAAGTGTATTCTTAACTCTGCTATTGACTTTAGATTGCTGCGCATGTTTTATGGTTGCACTCCATCCTGGTGTCTACCTTATTTCTAAACATATACATATATACAGCTGTGTCGCAATTATCCTTCCTTGGAAAAGATAAACGTTGCTATCTAATTATGAATCTTGCATGACTCTTCTACAATTTGCATACATTTAATCTAAGAACATCAGTACTGATTAACGTAGAATCCCTTGAGGCTTTAACCCCTTAAGGACCAAACTTCTGGAATAAAAGGGAATCATGACATGTCATACATGTCATGTGTCCTTAAGGGGTTAAAAATGAGTATAATATGTCTGAGGGCTCCCTGTGATCTGCAGTGGTCTCTCCTTTGCCTACAGTACTGACACTATGGTCACATACCACAATACATTTTTGAACATCAGAAAATCCTTGCAAGGTTCAAGTCCCACAGGACTGTGTTTTTAACCCATTATAGGAGAAGGTAAATGCAAATCCATTTCATGGACCAGGTGAGCATAGGAAGACATGCCAGGGTGAGAGTTATACCCTGGACCTCTAAGTATGGGAGGGCTGGAAAGGGGGTTATGGGCTGCAGCCAAAAAACATTCTTCTGAAAGTTAAAATAATGTTGGGATGTCTGTTCTGAAGGAATTTTACATAGCCTCTGTTAGCCTGGCGCTCTGTGGATTTGTGTGCGGGCTTCTGGCCTGTGTTTGCCGTACTCTTCACCCATGGACTGGAGTATCTAAGGCTGACCAGGCTGCCAGACTACAATTAGTATGGAAGATGTCCCTGGAGGAGTTTGCCAATATATGCCGGGTGAGATGAGACAGTGATCATGACATACATAGCACTGGGCAAGCTTAACCACATGATGACACAAGGTGGCCCCCTAGGGCCCATGGATTAGACAGGGGCCCGAAACCATGAATTGGCTAGGCCCGATTAACCATTCTTATGTTGCACATGAAGAGTGGTCCCAAACTGGTAACCTGCCTAGGGTCCCATAGGATCTAAATCTTTGTTTGCACATGGGGTCCATGAAGAAAAACATCACAGATCACGTATTTGTTCTTGGGAGGATGTCAAGTTGGGACCCCAATTCCCATCAAAAGACACAATCATGCATTACAAAGGGTTGTGTACCCGGGTAAAATTACCATATGAACGTTACTTAAAGAAATAACCATTTAAAAATGGCATCTACATGAATATAGAAATAGTCATGATTTTGTGTCTTCCAATTCAAAACAATATAACCCATGACAGGCGCACAGTCGGATTTGCCGGCATATGCGCTAACCTTACCCAAACCCCCATTAAAACACGGACACAGGTTATACCGTTGGAAATAATTAGTCCACAGCTTTATTAAATTATTAATAAAATAATTAAGGAATAACAAATAGGGTCATTGCCAACAAATCTTATTAAAGTTAACATCCCCCCATATACATAACATACCCCTAGCAATGACCCCACAATAATAACAATAGATAACAATCTAAATAACATGTTAATACAGAAACTGGCTGCCCAATATGACGACATATCCACCAGGTTAAATTGTTGGGGTGTACCAAGACACCGCTACCCACCATATCCATTGTAGGGGTGTACCAAGACACCGCTACCCACCATATCCATTGTAGGGGTGTACCAAGACACTGCTACCCACCAGTTCCAGTGTAGGGTGTACCAAGACACCACCACACCCCCAGGTTCACAGCCACCGACGGGCTCGAACCTACCAACCACGTGCAACACCAATCCACACTAAACCTCAGGATGCCCACTTTCTCCTCCATCTACCCTCCGATTTAACCAGGCCATTCCCCGCCGCTGTGAAAAAACGCTGTCAACTAACCTAACCAAATACAGGGAGGGTGGGAGGGACAGCTGACAGGTAAGCTTAGGTTCAGTTAAAATGGCCACTTCATATAATGGCTGGTATAAATACTCCCCTTATGACTCCACCCTACCCAGCATGCTAGCTGTCACTAAATTCCTGTGGCTGCTATGCCTACCTCCTGGCTCTGTCAAGGCCTATTCCTCTTAGCTGCGCTGATCCATGGGCTACAGACCCACACAAATTTGCCCATGTAGACCTAAACAGGGGACATGGTCAATCTGTCTCTGCATTAGAGTGTACATGGACACACCCCTTGTGCACGCCTACACGTAGACACATTCAATCCTTACCTGGTGGATCTCGATATGCAGGATAAATGTCAGAACAGAACAAGTCCATCCAGGAGAACTGTGCATCAGAGTACGATGGCATTAATTGGCTCTGTGTTACAGATTCTATCATTCCCTATGAGAAGAAACATGTGAATAAGTTATCTTTGCAATATCACTCTTACATGATAAGATTTGCAGCATGTGTATCTGATTTGTTGCATAATTTGTTTTGGATAGTAATAGATTTTACTGGCTTGTAGTGGTAATTGTTAACTTAAAAAAAATGATATTTAGGGTACTGATATTAAGGATTCAAGGCTGGGTATTGTGGAGAATTGAGAAGGTAATTCTAGTTAAAACTAACTGAACTGGAGGGTGGGGGGATCTGTATTTCTCTAATTCAGCTATTTTGCCCTAAATGATCAATTCTTCACAATTCCAGTTTTATTGAATAAGCCTGTGGGCTTCCTGCGGCAATATTTTAACAGCACTTTTTTCCATGATTTTTGATAGTTGCTCACAAAAACCTTAGATATAGCCATTACTGCCATGCCAACAGCACAGAAATACAGCCAAAAGGGTTAAATTCTAATACGTGACATAGATTTATCTGTAATTAAATAGTTTTTTTTTTTCCATTGACTTAACAAAAATGCTATTCAGTAAAAGAGATAAACTTATCTCATCTAATAGACTCTAGCCCTAAACAATTTTCCATCTATATATTTGCCGGTAGCTTGTCTAACACAATGTACTGATACATGATATGCTCTTTAAAGTGACATCATTCATATTTGGCTTGACAAATACATTTTAAAGAATATCCCTACATAGTTTGCTACCAAATTCAGAATGTAAGGGATTGGAAATATTTTTCTTATTTTTCTATGTTGCAACATATTTTTAATAGTAACAATGAAAATAATGGCAAGAATTTACTATATACATTTCTTAACACGCTAAAACATTATTTTGTTATGATTAAACATTTTAACTAAATGAGGAGCTGTGACACTTCTGAAGTGTTTACTATGGTGTGTTGTGCCCCAGGGGTAAGTATAAAATGCACCCTGCTGTCGGCACTGTACAGAAAACGTGATTTATTCATGACTTCCTGTCTTTGGGTTCAAAAAGGAAATGCATAGACATTGCAATCTGCATCATGTGCCAGGCTGTGCCAGAATAACCCAGAATGTTACAGTTCCTCTGTAAACATGGCATATGTTCGTGGTAGGCAAGGCTGGCAATTTTGACCTTAAATTTGAGATCCGCATCGAATTCTCACTTTAGTTAATAACCCTGAAAGTATCTATTTAATTTAACGATCAGTGTTAGAAAATAGATTAAAGTATCATTTATTTACATAGCACCAACATAGTGTGCAACACTGGATATATTGCTCGATGGTGGATTGACAGAGAAATGTAAAACAATACAGTATGTTTTTAGAACTTGGCCATCAAGCAACCAATCTAGAACTTTGCAAATCTTGCCCATTATTTTCTTTTTTTTGCATTGAAACACAATGGTGTTGATTTGGTTTATTGTGAATCTAGATCATTGTGTCAGTTATAAAGGGTTTAAACTAAAGCTGAAAATGGTACAAAATGTATATAAATATATAACGTTTTAGAAGACGTCTTCAATCTGACTGCCTAATTAAATATTATCATTGACACTATTATTTTGTTATATCTGGCTACTTAAACAACTGTAAAGTTGCCATGGTGATAAGATCTGGCTCCCACCAAGGCTTATGATTAGCGTTAATAACAAAGTTGCTATCCCGTCATGTGCCCATTGATTGTGTTATGCTGGAAGAGAAGGGTATGATTATAAACAGGTAGAGATATTTGGGCAAGCCAATATCTTAATGAAGGCACACCTGTCAATCCAAAAAATCTCAGGTTGAATCGAGTTCCTTTTTATTCTAGAGACACCTGCGTAAAATTCAAAGTGGGTTAAATTGAATTTCAAATGAGTACAGAATATCCAAACTGGAACCATTATTGACATGGGGATTTGTTTTTAATTCTGCCACTTAAAAGTTCACTTTGAATTCACTTTAACAATTCTCACTTTAATGATAATCCCTGATAGAATTCTGTGATATTTATATCCAAAAAGGCCATTTGTTTGTGCTAGCCCCTTGGCTTAAAGTTGCCATCTATCGTCTTTTCGCCTTAACTACTTTCTAAAACTGTTTCATATATTTTGATGGTTTATTCACTAAATAGAAAATTGAAAACCTCCTTTCGCTGTTTCTACACAGCTGTTTGTGCCGTCATGTTTCAAATCCTGCTTTTATTTCTCCTAAGCAGAGCTCTGCGGTTTGAATATACCATTTTGTATTTTCTTTCTATTCGTATCCCCAGTTAATAACATTGATCATAATCATTGACCTGCACACATCACATCACAGGGACATTCTGAACCACTTGTCACACAATGGCATGTTTTCTACATCTATATGTTGAAATTTGTGTCATCCATAGCCTGTAAACAGGGGTGGGGGAGAGGTAAATAGTTTAATATGAGGTGATGAGCTTATGGAACCATTCTTTTCCTCCCAGTGATTGCTGTCGAGATTACAATACAAACACTCCATTGTACACATATAAGCAAGGCTCCTGTTTTACACACCCATTGCTGTCCGACACCACTAACCTAAAGTAACCCGATATGTATATATAATATATATTCAATTAATGCTCCATTTCTTTTGATTGTATATTAAATATTTTTGCAACTTACATCACAGTCCAGTTTAGTCCTGGCACATCCAGGGCACACAGTGATTTACAGGAGAAGAATTAGAAACTTTGTTTCTGGTTTTCTTCTCACAGCTTCTATGTTCAATGACAAGGAAGGCTTACTCTTCTAACAATTGTTGACAGGAAGCCAAGATGGAGGTTCTCACTTCCAGGATAGAGCAGAGTCAGTTTCTACACTTAATATCATTTCGCAGACTACACAAACACAGTGGTTATTAACCATTAAAATGTGACAGAAAATTTTAAAACATTTTGAACTTTCTCAGAGCTTCATGCTTCGATGTTGGGGGAAATTAACCACATTTAGTTTCTCTCTCAAGGAGGGATATCATTACTATACTTGTGCACGACAAAAAATTGGTTCAGCCAAATCAGTTCATCCGTCTGAAATTTGTTTTGCTTTGGCCGGGTTTTGCCCATGCAATTGTTTTAAGGAAAATCTGACATCGTTAATCTCTAATTTGAGAGAGAACCATATCAGTTTAGCAGATACACGCAGAATGCGTTTTAGTGCAGTGAAAATGAAACCATTTATTTTAAAATGTTTACCTCCTCTGTGAGAAACCGCATCTAGGAGAATACCTGGAGGTTGTTTGACAGTTTGACCTTCAATTTGGAACTAGGTTGACAACTCAATACCAATCACTGTTTAATGAATGATCCCTGGGGAAGAAACACATACTTGTAGTGTTTTTGAGCCATTTGTAATAAGAGGCCCATCTAAAGCATAGTTAGCGGTTTGGTTCGTTGGCTTTGTTACATTGTGGCATGTGCTTGATAATTGTTGCTGGGCACCATGTGAGACATAAGACTGTTTAAGGGTTAAAGGGAAACTATAGTAACCAGAACAACTACAGCTTATTGAATTTGTTCTGGTGAGTAGAATCATTACCTTCAGGCTTTTTGCTGTAAACACTGTCTTTTCAGAGAAAATGCAGTGTTTACATTACAGCCTAGTGATAACTTCACTGGCCACTCCTCAGATGGCTATTAGAGATCCTTCCTGGGTCATGGCTGCCTAAAATGCATCCAAACATTCAGTGTCTCCTCCCTCTGCATGCAGACACTGAACTTTCCTCATAGAGATTCATTGATTCAATTAATCTCTATGAGGAGATGCTGATTGGCCAGGGCTGTGTTTGAATTGTGCTGGCTCTGCCCCTGATCTGCCTCTTTGTCAGTCTCAGCCAATCCTATGGGGAAGCACTGTGATTGGATCAGGCTACCACTTCTGATGATGCCAGCAGGCAGTGGGCAGGTCTAAAGGAAACAGGGGCAAAGCCAGGAGCTGCAGACTTGAATACAAGTAAAATTTCCTATATTTATGGAGGCATGAGGGGCCACGGGGGGGCTAGATGGTGGTTTTAACCCTATAGCGTGAGGAATACATGTTTATGTTCCTGATCCTATAGTGCTCCTTTAATAAGTATTTAGGGGTGTATAGAAAAAATACCCCTCTCTGTCTCATTAGAGATATTTTTGCCAGAAGGTCAAGGAGGCAAGGTGAAAGGTCAGAGTAGGACCCACCTGAGAGGTTTGCCTTGACGTGGCAGGCGTGCATTCCCTCCAGTGGCCATTGGAGTAACTAAATAACCTCCATTTGTTTAAATATACATAGGGATTTGGGAGAGAGCGCAGGTAACTTTTTTCCCTTTGGTTTTTACTGTATGTATTGGGGCTGATGTGTACTATTGTTGCTGCTGCCGCCCAGAAGTGGTGGGAGTTTGAGCACAGGACTTGTTTTTTTTGTCCAAGACTGTTTAAGCACCCAAGATGAACCATTACTATTTACACAAATCAAATTACAACGAGGACACTATTTCCATCATACAATTGGATTAGAGGTTATATATGGGGTCGATGAGGGTCTTAATGTTACCGCTGACTTATTAATATTGTTATAATTTTTGGAGGTCCAA